CTCAACATGCCTAGTGTGGGGATTATAGGCATGTGATATCATCCTCAGCTTTAATTCCCTGAAGTTTTGATGAGCTAATGCTGATCAGAATTTGGGAAGACATGTACATAGGAATTCACTAATTACATTATTTGTATGCTTGTTTATACTGAACATATGAACTTGTCAAATTAGGTTTAGAGACACTTTCGTGGTTAATATTCCTTTCTGCATTATATAAACATACATCTATGCATCATATCATGCTATATTTGAGATTACTCCTCACATGTAGCAATTATGATTGAAATAGCACTTTGTAACTTATAAACACCAAAGAACAATTCTAACATCAAAACAATTTTTTAATAATGCTCTCTGAACAATTTACTTTTCCACAAAAGTACTTGTAAATTAGTTTTACTTATAAATGAGTTTTAAAATGCCTCTTTCATGGAAAATTGAGCCAGCTTCCTTTATTTCCAGAGTCCAATTGGCGAACCTGGGTGATTTGTGTTTCTTATACTACACAATGGAACAGCAAGGCATGGAAAGTCCTTGCTCATCTGACCTGCTGTAGATCACCACAGAAAATTCAAGCCCGAGAGAAGCCTTGTTAGGACTTTTCATCACCTCTTCTAGATTTACCTTATCATATCCCATCCATATCTTAATTCCATCCATATCTTTACATGATAGACTGTATTCTTGAGATACCTAAAATTGGTTAAACTAATACTCTGCAGAAATAAATTTTATCAAATTATGTTTTTGGGAAATTTGCTATTAGGCCTTATTCAGAGCTTACTTAGAGCAAATATTTAAGAGAATTATAGTACTATTCCACACAGTATAATTCAAAAAGAAAAGAAATGATTCCATTAATGGAAAACATTCTAAGCTAAATTGACAATGCAACTCTCTATTAAAATAAGAAAACAAAATCTTGCTACTTCAAGCACTGAATGCTCCCATCCTCCTGGCTCTGAACTTCAGCTCTTGTAGATTAACCTTTGTGAATTTCTGTGCATTCATCAATAAATGAAGATCTCAGTCCCACCCTGCATCTCCTATTGATCACTAGCTGTAACTCACAACCAACAATAAAACACCACAAGGCTCTGTGCCTCTGTGGCTTTCAATCTAGCTACCATCAGGAAACACATTTGTATTTTAAGAACTGCTAACAAGATTCTTGGGTTTGGAACTAGTGGGATGGCTCCATTGACCGGAGCACTTGCTACCAAGCCCAGTGGCCTAAATTGGATTCTCTGAACACACATTGTGATAGGAGAGACAGGACTCCTGGAAGTTGTCTTCTGACCTCTACCACATAATATAGCAGGTATGTACTTCTCACATGCACAGACTCTCAAGATAAACTAGTAAAATATAATGAAATATATCACTCATGTCATTTCCTGTATGTGTCTCTTTGAATGCAAAGGTATAATGATCCTATTGGCGACAGTTATAATTCAAGCCCTTTGTTGAGGTCTGTGTTTCTTAGTTCACAAAGCTTCATTCAGAGGACAGGTTCACAGATCCTAGGTCTGGATCACAGACATTCCCAATCTCTTACTTGTCTGAGCATCATGTGATTTACAGTAACTTTAGTAACAGTTCCTTTTAGTTTAAAACAGACTGTGGTTTCAGAGCCATGTCAACAGGTTATGTATTCTCAGGCTTTGTGTCAATTGCAGGAAAAGGAAGCATCCGTTCCTGAAAACTCTTTTCATCTCTTTCATTAATGCATGAATGTAAGATGTGTTAAAATGATAAACATCCACGCTGTGTGCATGCCCATTAAAGGGTTACTACGTTTCCTGAGTACCTCTAAATACACTGTCTTCTTCCAGCCAGGTGTATTCTCCCCAGTTTAGACCAATCAGGAGGTTTGCCAAATAAGTCATGCTTCCTGAAATCAACTCGAACCTTGTGTGACCAAAAACAAAACCAAATCAAACCACTTAACCTTCTCTATTTTTTCTCTGCATGGTTTTATTTTTTAAAAAATATTTGTAATTAAATCATGGCAGTCTGCCACACATAGCCACATGGGGAATAGTGTCCATCCCTTTCAACTTCTTCTTTCTTATGATGTGTCCCCAAGTCACCTGTTTCCTACCACAGCTGCCCTATTGAAAGCTCTGCTTACAGAATTATTTGGGGGTGCGGAGAGGAATAGTCACTCACTCTTCTGTGACTACATCATGTCAGTGAGAAGTGCGGTCCCTGACTAAGAGATGTCATGGGACGACTCTGTCTACTTTCCCTACTGATAGGAGGAGAGAGGCTTTGGATTTCCTGCAGGACTTGGCTAGAACTCCTGCATCACAAGGAGTTTAATTTGAAATAGTCCCCCTGCTTGGCAGCACCAGCCATTAGAAGCACAACAACCAAAGCAAAAGACAGAACATACAACCAGAAGTGACTGCTTGATCACAGTCCAGAATGATGAAACAGAAATAAATAATTTCTGGGCCTGGGAATACAGATGAAAATAAAAGCTTGCCAAGCCTACAGAAGGTTCTCTACTCAACCCAGTAAAGCCAAAGCAGAAACATTTATTATCATTAGAAAGTATTTGTAATTGAAAAATATCTACTTAGCTTTGTAATAATTGTGCCATAGCTCTTAAGAAATAGTAAATCACGAGATACTCTGTGAAGATGTCTTCTGTTCACACAGATGCACAGCGAAGCAGACAGAGCTGAATGTGATCTTTCGGGTCACTGTGATCTCAAAATACATTTCAGGTCATAATTATTCTACAATTTTCTTGATTTTACCGTTGACTTCTAGGCCACTTCTGTGCTTCACGTCCATGTAGATGCTCTAATTTCCAATTGTTGTCTATTAAAATATTAATTTTAGCATAATAAGTAAATTAAAATGGTATATTGTGCATATTAAAGGCTTGGAGTACCTGTGTGAAGAATGTGTGTAATTTTTGTAATCATTTACTAGTTAGTGTAAATAAGTTGGTATCCAAACAGGTTTTGCCTTTTGTGACTTTGGTGAGGATGAAAAGATCCCGAGGCTACACTGGAGCCCTGGGACACTCATTGCCTCATCACGTGATTTCTGCTTGTCCTTCCAACAGGGGAGGCCAAAACAGTCAGCCTCAAACTTTTGTCATGGTCTAACCTTTATATTAAGAGGTCTTTCTGGAGAAAAGGGATTCAGGCTCTAATCCTAAGAAGCAATAAGTTTACATTTAAAGACAAGAGCCACATGCTTTTCTGCCTCACACAAACAGACACGTTGGACCATTCTGTGTTAATGACACTCAGAAGAGGCATACATTCTCACTGCCAGACACACCCACAGAGTGGCCTTTTGGCAAATACATTTATGGTCAGACGAAAGAATTTGCTTTCTTTTTTAGATAATTAGATTTATTGTTTTCAATAATGGCACCCCATTTGATAAAATAATTTAACTAGCTTGTTCTTTCTCCTCTGTCTTGCCTCTTTATTCACCATGTAGCAACGAATTTAATCAAAAGCCCTCAATAGTTTTCTCATTCTGCTCCTGACACACCACTGTATCTTCACTGCCCGAGTCCTCCATCACTGTGACTGTGGTTTTTTTTTTTAAATCTGATTATAAATATAAAATTTAAGAAAATTATTTTGCATTTAAATAAAATAATATAAGGTGAGCTTGGTGGTCTGACCCTTCATGTAACCCCAACCACTGGGAAGGCTGAGGTGGGGGGTCTGGAGGCCTTGATGGGCCTGGGTCACATCATGAGTTCAAGAACAGCATGGACAAATTAGTGAGACTCTGTTTGAAAATGTAAAAGTGGCAAGAATGGCGGGACACACCTCAGTGTTTTTTTACTGTCTTAGCACACAGAATGCTCTGGATTCAGTACTCATGACCATAGGAGGGGGTGAAACAATATGCAGAACTAGTGTATGTCCTCACAGCCATCCAGTGGATACTCTTGATTAATGTAATCAGTTGTTAGGTTGTAAACAGTTAAGTTGAAGCTCTAAATTGTATTTCCATAAAACATATCACTTACAGAGAAAAACACTAAAGTAAAAAAAAATTACGTTTAATAGAAAGAATGATGAACATTTTTTTAAAAAAGCATTTCTTACCATGGATACATGATGCTACAGATGTCAATTCTGAGACAATATTTATCTAAGAGATCATCATTTGCAAGAAAATGTTCTCAAAATCATGACACTTGGTCAGACTAATTCACTGGCAGATGATGCCTGTGGGTGGTGTGATGAATAGATCAATAAACAACAATTAAATACAGATAAAATCCCATCGTCCACTTCAAGGCCATGTTCTGTTAGAGCTGCTTTTCCATCTGTGTAAATGTAATGTAATTTGGGTGAAGGCAGCTGACCCCAGTGGCTCACATACACGTGAGTTTCAATACCTTTAATATCCCTCATCTATCCAAAATAGATGAGTATAATTAATTTAGTGGTCCCTTTTATCCCTGAGTAAAATGAAAGAGCATGGCGTCTACATTCACTCTTACAGAAAAGAACACCTCATGCCCTCATTAATTTCACTAGAGCACAAAACCTCTCTCATTCTGCAAGCTAATGGTTGGCTTTACACAACACTTTACCGTGGCAGCTAATGAGGTAGCACACTAGCCATGTGCCACTCCTAACCACGGCTGTGTGGCTTCTTGTGAAAAATAGTCTTTTCTCATTGAAATGTCAGTTTGTAGCAAATAGAATTAAAAATGCTCAATATGTCCAAATATTATATTGCTTAGTTTCTTTCTGTACTGGCAACTTGAAAGACCCAGTAGATAGATATAAAGAATATGGTATTTTGTGAATACTATATACTTACTTCAATTGTTCCAACACTAGGTGATTGTAGATTTATTTATCAGACCTTCCCAACAATACAAAATAAACAAAAAGAGTCATTGTCAAGATAATAGAAAAATAAGTGAAAACTGTCATAGTATTTTATTTTGATTTTATTTCTTTTGTACATGACATTTAAATGCTGTGTTGTATTGACAGATCTGGGAAACTTTAGTGGCCGGACGAGAAGTGCAGTCTCGGTGCGGGAAGGCCAGGGGGTTGTTCTGATGTGCTCTCCGCCACCTCATTCTCCAGGTATCGTAACTCCCTTTCTATCTTATAGCTACTCTCATGTGCTGTCTGCCTCACTTCCATGCACTGTGTGTTCATTCTTGTAGACAGGGTGTGACCAGGAACCACCCCAGTTGAAATGTGCATGGTTGACATGATACATATCAGCATTCATGTGTAATTACTGCTCATACATCTTATGTTCCATTGAGTGGGAGGTTGTGCTGGGTATAATTGTTTTCTGCTCATTTTGTTGACTATTGACATTATGCCTGTGTTGACATTGGTGAGAAATATATGGTCCAAAGGGCAAGAAATATGAAAACTTGGAAAACTGTGGTGTCAGAACTGAGTGAGTGACTACTATCGAGTCCCGTGTTTCAGAAGATAGGCTCCATAGGTGTTTGCTTATGGTGTCCTTTGCCATACTAGGGCAACAGTGCTAAGAAAGCTCTACATTTCAAACAAAGGTATAATTAACCTATTTCTGTGCTAGCAACAGTCTTGCTTATCAAACTGTGGGAAAGAGTAATTAAAGAGAGTAATTACCTCATTGTTGTGTGAAGCAGAAAAGTAGACTACGCTACAAATCATTTGTACCCCTTTACCAATTCACCACTAATTTGTTCAAGTCCAGTGGTTGGAAACATGTACCTGTTTATATCTCAGTATACCGTTTCTGGAAAACAATTTGAGAGAGTCTGACATCCATTAATGGGCAGCCAGATGGTGAATTCTCCAAGCCACTGTAAGGAGCCTGGCTTTGACTCTAAATGAGGCCAAATGTTAGTCTGCTCAAGCTGCCAGACCAAAATGCCACAAGCTGGATGGCCTAAACAAAGGGACATTTTCATAGTTCTGACTGGTGGAACCCTAATGTGAGGGTGGCCATGGACAGGGTTTGGTAAGGGCCCCCTCTCTGGTTTGTAGATGACTTTTCTGTGTTTCTACATATTCCATGTGAAAGAGCTCTAGGAAGGACTGAGAGAAAGAGGGTGGGATGGAGCCACCAGCTAGCTACTTATGCTTTCTGTGAGTGTATCTTCTATCTACTTCCTGGCTTGGCCAATGGCTCTTGAGTAACCATGCATACTCCTGTCTGAGCTGCTCCCAGGTCTGTCTCTAGCCACTGAAGCCACATGGCCTACAGTATACATCCTTCATATCTTTCTTCAAACCCCACCCTCTTAGCAGAACTTACCCTAACTTGCCTTGATTGAGTTTTCACTTCACAATCACTCCTTTCATTTTTACCTTTGCATTGTGTTTTCGCCATAAAACTCATCATTTAACACACCATATAGATGTATTTACTTTACAGTGTCATTTTCTGTTATCCTCAGTTATAACATAAATCCCACCAAGAAAGAAATTCTCCATTCTTTGTTACCCACTTGGCTGAGAAGGAGACTGGCACGGAGTTGAGGCACAGAGTTGAAAACAATTAATAAATTAATCCATGCATATATTTAAGGATGGCAAATACAAGTTAATGTTTTAGGCAGAAATTACCATCAGGGACTTGGGCATGATGGCATATAAAAGAACAAAAAGGATCAGGCACATGTCAGGTAAACTTACACAGTTACTTCCCTTTGCCTCAGTGTATTGTAAATAAGGATAACTGAAAAGTAGAAAAAGTGAACTCAAATTCATAGCATTGGTACAAAAGCCACATTAAAACATTTTATATTCTCCCTAAAGCAGTGACTGAGACCTGAAGTGTTAGAGATCACTGTCATTGAGAAATGGGAAATTTGGGGGGAGCCTGAGCATGCTCGCTATAATACATAGAAGAAGTGTACTCAGAACAATTGCTACAGAGACAGGGTAGTGGAAGGGTAGGGCCCAGGCTGGGTCTCTGTCCCATGATTCAGGAGCTCTGACTACTTCAACTGTCTTAGCTTTGATGACATGAAACCAAAGGCTTAACCAGAAAACAACCATAGCTTTGTATGAGATCCACATCTCAAACCCAAATTCCAGTCTCCTCCGAACGGCTATGCAGACCATCACAGAGCATGTTCTCTGCTATGCCTCATTCACATTTGTTTCCTTTATTTCCTTCCTTGTTTTAAATCATAATTTTTGCTGTTTTATTTAAGCAAATTTTGTTACATGACAAAGTATCAGCAGTAAATCTGTACAATTCTTTGTAGATCTCCTACGACACTGCACTTCTCTCATGCTATGAAACTCATCATACTACAATTAATATTCCAATGATAGCACAGTACACAACACTTAGTAGGTCTTCAATGGAAGCATAGGAAATTCCTGAGTAAACCTTTGTTCTAATAGTCAAGCTTTGCAGCATTTTAGAGAGACATCAACTTACTCATATTAGTTGTTTGGAGCCCATATTCATGACAGACACTGGCTTCAATGCTCAACACATTCTAGTACTGTTCTCTCAAGGAAGAATGCCTACTGTGAGTCACCGAGAGGGATATGAAATGGAGAAACACATCAGCTATCAGAGAGGATTCAATGGTTAGAAATATCTCAAAGGTCTATTTGTCATTCCTTTCAAAAGGATGTACAAAGCACATTTTTCTTTGACTTTCAATGAAAACTAAGATGGATTCTTTTGCTAAATTTTCCTTTTACTGCCCAAGAGATGATCATGAAAGCCTATTTGGGAACACGTGAAGAAAGCATCTTACCTAAGTACTTCAGGAGGAAGCAACTGTCTACAGAGAGACTATTAAGTTAATCTTTCCAAACTGATTTTCGTTAAACAAAATTTAACTTCTGTTTGTTCAAACTTTTTCAAAATCAAGTTACTACATCTAGAGAAAATCATCTGTATAAAAATGTACAAAAAGTCCTCTTAACTAGTACCTTTAAAATTAGTTTTAAATTTTAATTAATTATTGTTTCTGGGTTTTAAAAAGAGGATTTTGTTTTTTATTCCAGTCTGTCTCCCTCTGACTCTCTCCCTCTTCCTCTCACCTTTCCTCTCCCCCTCCCCGCTCTCTCTCTGTGTGTGTGTGTGTGTGTGTGTGTGTGTGTGTACCATTCTCCTGATTAGCTTCAAATTGACTAGCCTTAAGTTGACAAGATCATACTGCTGTACCTGACAAAGAGCTAGGATTGGAGGTGTTTGCTGATGCCTTTCTAAAGAGAGCAGTGACTTCTATCTCATCTCAAGTATATTCGGTTTAATTATGTGTAGAAATACTCAAAAGCTTACACTGAAACCTAAAATTCTCAGGAGAAAAAAATGGGAAGCTGTGGAGCCTAGGGATGTGGCTCAGCAGGTAGAAAGCTAACCAAACATCCCTGGGATTCATCAACATTTCTCCATACCAGGAACAAAAGAGTTCAGTCTATAATGAATGTATATTTGAAATGGCCCTCTACAGTTCAGTATTCACACTGTCCTCAGAAATGTGTGTGACTTAGAAATTATCATCCTCATGGTTTCAATAATGAGCCAAGCTTCACAAACATTTTATGAAGGACTACTGTTCACTTATATTCTCATTTAAATATTAAAATTTTCTTTGTTCCTTAGGAATGTATCCATAAAACACTAAAATACATATATAATATTTTGAATACCTTATTTTATATCTACTTTTAATTTAATATATGAAACAATAGCTTTAGATAAAATTCACCCTTATCTCTCCTCAAGTCCAACTCCTCCCTGATCCTCCTTCCCAGTGTAATGTCTTCTTTTTTCCCTCCCTCTGCCCTCCTCCTCTTCTTCACCCTAAGTCTCATTAGTGTTACCCATACACACAGCATCACAGAATCACACAAGAGATTGGCCATACCTCTGAGGAAAACGGCATCTCCCTCCCTCAGCAGCCAATACCCACTGCCAGCTCTCCACCTGATTTATGTGTATTTGTTATTGATGATTTATCTGTTTGTTCATTGCCAAAATAATTTTGAAGATACAAGAAAACTTGGGATACAAGAAAGCTTGTCTGAGACAAGCTCTCTATCATTAGACTCTCCCTCCACTAGCCAGTATTTCTTCTGCCAGGCAGATCTTCTGGGCCTGAGAGTCCTCTTTTTTGAAGGATTGTAATGAATCTATGAGAGTCTTTAGTTTAGGATATGTTTTCTGGAGATTCAAAAAAAATTGTCCTTTATTCAGTTCACCAGTTTCAAGTGCATTCTGGTGTAATAGTGACCAACCATAGAATCCCAAATTCAGCTGTGCAGGCAAGTTGATGGGGCACAACACAGCCTGTTTCTGCAAGGTTACTCTCCACACTTCTATTGTACCTGGATGAGTAGGCTTCCAGCCAGGGATTCTCATCCTTCCTTTGACACTTATTGCTGGCTTTATTTGCTAAATTAGCCCTATTGTACCTATAAAGGGAATAATAAAAGCTATCTCATGGACGGTAGTATTAAGAGGCAGTTTATGTAAGGCAATTAGCCCAGTGCTTAGAGGGAAGTAAGCATTAAATTCAATTTTGTCTTGAAGATCCATCTTCCAGAATCCTCTTTAAGATGCAAATGATTCTGAGAAGGGTGATGGTGTAAATCATTAACTGCTAACGCTAATTAGTAGTTGACATTAAGTTAACAGTAAGGGAATAGGAAGATGAAGAAAATTTGGAAACATGAGTATGGACCTTAGTGATGAGGAGAGAACCACGGACAGAGGAAAAGGGACCCACCTTAAAGCCAGGAAGAACACATCTTGGTCTTTAAGTGACCTCTGTATCGTAGGCTAATTGGAAACCTAAATTGTCTGCTCGCATGCCCACATGCTTAAAGTAATCTATATAGTGTGGACGCAAATCTGCAGGCATCAAAGTAAATTCCATATCTATATAATTATATTATTTCTAACCACTCTCTGTAGGGCCTTCACTCTGACAGAGCTTCTTGGTCATACTTTAGTTGTTTGGTAACTATTTTCTAGTGGTGGAAGGTATTTTACAAATCTGCCTTTTTAACTTTATTAAGTAGAAGCTTTGCAAGGCTCTAAGTGTCATGGTGAGGTATGTGAGTGCTGTCTGCGCATGTTATCAGCAGTGAAACCAGAAGACATT